GGTGGCGGGAGGATAGCCCAGTGGAACCTCGTGAAACACTGGCTGATAAACTGATGAGCTGGAGCTCATTATTTCATCAGGACTTAAATGGGCCAGTTGTGAATCTGAGGCTGCATTTCATCATGTTTTTTGAGCCGAGGGCCTCATAAATTTTGAAACCACAACTTGTCTAGTTTATAAATGCCTTTTGAGAAGGAATCTGACCTCATGCGTATTGTGGGGATTTCACTAGGATTAATTAGCTAATATTTGCCAAATTTTATGAAGATGAAAAGCACCTGTAGGTGCTAAGAGGCATAGTCATTTTTCCACTTACATTAACACCGTAATATATTTTAGATAATGAGAGATTAACTTTAGAAACTCACCATTGAGTTTTCAACCAAATTACCCATTTTAAAAACTTTCCCTCAAATTAGACTTGCAGAAATCTTGACATGGTGGGAACACAGTCTGCCTGGCTAGTCAAACAGATAAGAGATGGTCTGTAGCCAAGCATGTAAAGGTAGCAGGTGATCACAGAGTAAAAAGCTACTAAGCACCACTCTGTGGCTTACTGGTAGGTATCGGGTTACAGTAAAGAGTTGAGTAAAACTTTTCCCAGTTAACAGACTAAAATTCATTTAAGAATCACTCAGTAATTTCCATTGAATTTTAATCTTTAGATTTAATTTAATTTTAATAATCCCTTTTGTTAATTGAATGAATCACTGACTTTAGAATTGGTCAGACTTCAAATCCAGTCTTCACTACTTTAGGCAAGTTACTTAAACTTTCTCAACCTCAGTTTCCTCACCTGTAGGTTTTTCTAGTTTTCCAAGGGTCGCCTGAGCCTGGTTTGCTTAAATCTACGAGTGTGCTGCTGGGTACATGGTAGGTGTCCAGCAAATAGAGGTTATCTTACTACCTCCTTTCTATTTTATTTAAAATATTACCATTTACCTGAGAAATCTCTTGTGTTACTAAATTGGTATTGTGGCAGAAAGGGACATGAAAGTTTTAGAACCAAAAAGTATGAACTCTGGAGGCATTGTAAGGGAAGAAATCCTGACTGTTCTCAGGATTGGAAATTGGATAGGACATAGGGCTGGTGCTCCTCGTTCACCCAGGCCTCTGAAGGTGTTGGCAATTTTGGCCTCTGATAGACCTTCATCTCTTCATTTTATTGTCTAGTCCAGTGGTCGGCAAACTGCGGCTCGCGAGCCACATGCGGCTCTTTGGCCCCTTAAGTGTGGCTCTTCCACAAAATACCGACTTCTGCGCATGGGCCAAGGAGTTTCAATCGCACTATACATGTGCACCCGCACGTGGTATTTTGGGAATAACATAAAAACTAATTATACAATCAAGAAATCTGGCAGAAGTATGGTTGGAGACTATTTGAGATTATGTGCTAAAGTAAGATTTAAAATTTAAAAATATATATATTTGTATTAATTTCAGTGAGGAAGGCAGAGGGAGAGAGAGAAACATCAGGTATGAAAGTGAATCATTGATTGGCTGCCTCCTGCATGCCCCCTATTAAGAATTCAGCCCTCAACCCAGGCATGTGCTCTGACTAGAAATTGAACTGTGACCCCCTGTTTCATAGGTCGTTGCTCAACCATTGAGCCACACCAGCCAGGCTAAAGTGAGATTTCAAAATAACAGAGAATGCATCTGGAATCACCATGTATTGACTGTGAGGCCTTGGATAAATTCCCTGAGCCAGCACAGCCCCTGGTCCACTGGTGGCATGTTAAGCTGTTGTAAGTTTCTTCCTTTGTGAATTGAGAATGGAATATAGTTCTGATTCAGTGATGCCCTCTTTACCGTTCAGACTACAGGATACAAATTTATGAATCTGGATTGGCTGTGTCGATAACTCCTAAACATTGAGGACAAGTAGCTTTGTTGCCTTTACTTAGGAAAGAAGCCTTTTTTTTTCTTATATTTTTGGGGGATGAGGAGATCTACTCTCATTCTCTTTACACTCTCTCAACTTGGTCATCATTGCTGTTTCTTTGGTAGAGGAAGATAAGGGAAGATGGAAGGACCAACTTCAAAGGCAGGGCAATGGCTTTGTGTCTTTCTTCCTTTTGACACACATGATGTGTCCACTTCGCAAGCAAGAGAAATTGTAGAGTGCTAGGTGAGGAGCAGGTCTGTTTTGTGCCACAGGAATGTTCCTCTTTCCTGGAAGCTGATTCTTCTTCCTTTGACTTCTCCCCTCCTGTGATTGGAAATAGAATCTTCCCGTCTGCACCCCTTAATGACACTGTTCAGTGCAGGGTTAGTTTCTTCAGGCAGACACGGAAGTAGAACAATTCATTCCTCCCACGGCTGCTGCCACCTCTTTCCTCATCACTTCAGTCATTTCTGTAGCAAATACAGCCCTCCCTTTGAGTGGCAGAGCCCTGGCAGGAAGCCAGTGTTGAAATAAAAACCGATCGCTCTGGGCCCCCACTGTTGCCTCTGGAAAAGGACACGCTGGGGCATGGTATCAAGGCAAGAAAAGACAATTGCAAAGACCAAAATCCCCCCACAAGAAAAAAGAAGCTTTAGGGGTTGCGGGTGGGAAAACAGGTTGCCTTTACCATGTGACCAAGCTGTGCAGCTCTGCATGGGGGTAAGAGAGTGTGTTTGTGAGAAGGCAAATAGCAAGGAAATGGAGAGGGAAAGTGAAGTCTAGCAGGTTACACCTGTGCTGAGCGACGAGCCCAAACTATTCTTTCTCAGTTTGGTGATACTAATGTGACAAACAGTAGCAAGAACACGTTTTATTTGACTTCTGTGGCAGAACCCATTCACTTTGCCCCTTATCCAGGCACCCATCCATTCCTGCCCCATGGCTCTTTGGTAAAATCCACTCCCTTTGGTAAAATCATCAGAAGGGAACCACAGAAGGGACTTGGGGAGCTCCAGTGCCTGGAAGTTGTCAGCTGATTATTGACTGCGGGGAAGAACAGCCTTCCAGAATCCATCAGTATGCTCCATAGTATGCTCCTGATTGTGAGTAATAGCACCCAGGATCCCACAATAGTCTAAGGAACCACTGTGGTGAGTTTGAAGAGTGCATGATTAGGATATTTTTTAGATTGGGGCTACACAAAGTCGAACTTGAATTTTGAAGATTCATATATCCTAAACAAAATTAACTACAGAGCCTAAATTTTAAAAATACTTCTTCTCCTGTCCACTTTTTGAACTTTCAGAAATGGAGTTGTATCTTACTAATGAACATGAATTAGAATTGAGGAAATTAGCTTTTTAAAAATATATTCCTAATTGAGCTACATTGATGTTGAAGATTATTGCCCGAACCCCACTGACATCTTTTTCACTTTAATTTAAATTTATTCCCATTACGTAGCTTCTCTTTATATAGACCTGAAAATCTAGAACTGAATTATCAAAGATTCTTATTCAGCTGTGGACTTGTCTTAGATGGTACAGCAAGACCCCACTTAACATTATCCATGAGTTTCTGTGACTTTAAGTGAAATCATGCATAACAAAACCAATGTTACCACAGGCTAATTGACATAAATAAGAGTTAAGTTCCTGTGGCATCTCATCAGTGTCATAAAGAAATGATGTTACTCGAGGACCTTCTGCATATCTGGAAAGAAATATTTAAGGTAGTATTTTAGATCCATTATGTTTTATAAATTTAATGTATTTTAGTGGTATTAATAAAGCTTGTATTATATTACTGAGCTCTTACTTCTTCTGATTATTTTTGCTGTTGTATTAATTTACAAGGCAGACATCCTTTTAGAAGAAATTTAACTGTAAATGGTGTAAGCATTAGGCAGTGGGATTTCTCACTCCCTCCAGGAAAGGTAAACATTGTCAGGAGTGGTGAAGCATCCCCATCACAGTTTAACGTTGTCAGTCCTTGTTCTAAATGTATTGTTTAAATCGCTATCTTACATAAACAGTTGGCGTGCAAATCCTTCAATCTCTGAAGAAAAAAAGCAACACCTGAGAAGCACAAGTCCTTCAAAGATTGACAGCTTGCATACTAAAGCAACAAAAATAATGGATAATACAACCCTTACCTGCACCAATTCCTAGCTGTGTTTTTCTATAAAGAACTCTCTCAACTTGAAATACTAACACTGGCAAACTTGAAGCTTCACATAAAGCTTATACAGATACTTTGGGGGAAAAAACATTTAAAAAATGCAACATCTGTAGTTCTTATGACCACCTGAGTCTGTGGTCTTGCTGGTTAGCGTCCATATCTAAACTGAATTATAAGTTAAAAATCAAGTGTGTTTTTGAAGATCAAACTTATTTGTCCACAGACTTGTTAATAGTGGTATGATTCACTGAACAAAATCAAGAAAACTAAAATTTATAGAATCTTGATAAATGCAGCCAAACTAATACGTGTGTATATGTGTATCTCCTACTTAACAGGCAAAACAAAACAAGACCTTAGGTAGCATCTACTACTGTAAGGATTCACCGTTGCATATGTGAAAAGATAATTAATCATTTGCTCTGGTTATTTCATAGGTAGGGGAAGTATTTGGTTTTGTTGACACTTTCGTTGTGGAAAACTTCTGTTGCCACTTGCTATAAGCTTTCTTGCTTAACAGCAATAGTAAAAGTCTGCGTTCTCTCTCCCAGATGCATAAATTATCTATTGTTTTTGGTCTGTTTTGATCTTACCCTTTTTATGCTGTAGTACACTTGATAACTGACCATCACACGTATGAAACCTCCACCTCTACTGTCATGAGAGGACACCCAGATTTCATGCAGTTCCTGTACTTCACATGTCATGACTCCCTGCTGGCACACATGCACCTGCCCTCCTTGCTTAGTCACAGCGGCACACCTCGCGGTGCTTGTGTTAGAGAATTATCTTGGTCAGTGATACTTATTCAGATGATTCCTAATCTGTAGATGTCCCTGCAATATGATACTGTTTTCTCTCTCATACTCATGTGCATTTTGAAATAACATTTGCGTTTGGCACAGGTATTTTGCTATGTCTTTAATTTAAAAAGAAAAAAAGAGTTCTACAATAGTTGTTATGGCAGGTAGGGTTATTCTTCATCCAATTAAAGATAGCTAATCTCTCAGGGTTGCAGTATTTTCTCTGGTTGATAACAGAGCATCCTATGAGATGATAATGGGACCGTGGGCAATGCTGGTCTCGCCAGCTAGTGTCATTCTGCACTGGGATTTAGATGTGTTCTTGTTAGAGCTGTGTAGTGGTTGGAAGTGAAATGGAAACAAATGCAGACATTTTAATTGATAAAATGTGTAGAAAAACCTTGAGATGGAATATTTTTGCAAAAATGAGATGTAATTTTATTTTTTTGCTTTTCTAAAGATTCATTAGGTTTTTATTTCTACCATAACACTTCTCCATTTGTCCATCTATTCAAAATAATGCCTAAATGATTTATGATGCATCTTTCAAGGACAAATATAACTAAATACGTTTCCCTTTGAGGTCATTATTTGCCTTGTTTCTGTTTATCATCCTCAAACTCCACACTCCCTCTCTGCTATTGTATTACAACTATGCTATTGTATTTTTTTTCTGTAGCTTCTTACCTTTTTGTAAGTTGCTCAAAATAGGTTCAAAGTAACATGGTTCAGTTATATTTAGTTGAATTATTGCAGTTATGAAGAAACTAATAAGCTGGAATTGTCTTAATTTTTATACTAGAACATTTTAAAGTACATTTCCCCCAATCAAATAACTATATTTTATTATAATCTTTCTAATAATTATATAGATTAAATTTTAGTCTTAAGTCAATAAATTCTTATACCTTAATAAATCTATGATTTTTCTTTAAAAATATTAATAAAGAACATTTAATCGGATTGTTGGAAGTAGAATGAATGTTGCAGCCCTAAACACATGTTATCTAAAATAGTATAAATGTATAGTATGAAATTGGAGTCACAGCCATAAATCAGAACCTATGTAACTCTAAGCATACATTTAGCTAATTATAAAAATTTACTTCATAAAACAATTTGAAAGAGTGAATTTCATAAAAACTTACTGATTTGTATTTCTCTAAATTCTGATTGATAACTTTATATGTTGAATTACACCAATTTCTCCACCTTGTCCTTTTTGTAAAAATGTATAAGATAATATTTGTCCCTTAGGTTCCATTAAAATTGACACTGGTTTTAAGTCAGCATCTTACAGAAATTTGTGTACAGAAAATTAAAACTACATTTACATGGGTCATGGCTTCCCCAAAACTAAATACTCTAATTTCCCCCCTTAAAGAGGAGATAAAAATAAGGTCTCACTATAAATACATAAATGTATTTTGTTTTCAATTATTGTACACAATAACTATATATATAACTAAAGATTAAGCAAACCAGTATTATTCAACCACACCAGAGGCAACCACTATGAATATTTTCTATATTTCCTTCTAAACTTTTCTCTGTGTGTGTGTGTGTGTGTGTACACAATGCAGTATCCTATCTAATAATAGATAACGATTGAAATTGACCATACCTTCGCTACGCCTCCCATTGGCTAATCACCGAGATATGCAAATTAACCACCAGCAAAGATGGCGGTTAATTTGCATACATAAGCGAGAAGCGACGGAGCAAAGACTGAAGGTGGCTCTGGCCAGAGCAGCAAGGGCTGTGAAGGCGGCTCTGGCTGGAGCGGCACTGGTTTTCCTCCGGCACCCGGGAGCCAGGCCTCTAGTTGAATATAAGTGTGATCATGTTTTTTTTGTTTTGTGATCATGTTTTATATTATAACTAGAGGCCCAGTGCATGAAATTCATGCACGGGTAGGGTCCCTAGCAGCTGCCAGCCAGGTCTTCCTTTATTTCGTGCCGCCCCTTGGTGGTCAGTGCACATCATAGCAAGCGATCAAACTCCCGGTTGGTAGAACTCCCGAGGGGAGACTGCATGTTAGGCTTTTATATATATATATAGATTCTCCTCTGCTTTTTTCAGTTTCCATATTGTAAGCATTTTTGATATGGGAAATATTTTTAGTGTTTGATTATAGCCCCAGCAATCACCAACCGGTGGTCTGCGGACCACTTCTGGTCCGTGAGGTCCGAAAGGTTGGCAACTGCTAGCCTATATTATAGTATGTTTAAGTTTTCTTTTATTGACTACTAGAGGCCCAGTGCATGAAAATTCATGCACTGGAGGGGGGTGTCCCTCAGGCTGGCCTGCCCCCTCTCACAGTCCGGGAGCCCTCAGGGGTGGGAGGTGACCTGGCAATCAGGAGAAGGCGATGCCCCATCACACCTCTGCTGCAGCCACTGCCAGCAGCACAAGCCTCAGCCGGCCCTGGTTACCTGAGCCTCGGGAAGCTCTGGGTGGCTGCGCAGCCGCCATCTGAGGCTTTCCTGTGCCTTGGGCTGGCCCTGGGTGGCTGGGGAGCTGAGGGGACAGGGGGACTCTGGAGGCAGGAATGCAGCAAGGTCCCGGCAGGGCTGAGGGGTCTGGGCACCGCCATCTTGTGGCTGTGGGCGCCACCATCTTTGAGGGCATGGCAGCAATTAGCATATTCCCTCCTTATTGGCTGTGGGCACCACCACCTTTGAGGGTGGGGTCATCTATTAGCATATTTCCTCCTTATTGGCTGTGGGCGCCACCATCTTTGTGCTGGCGTGAGGATCACTTAGCATATTCCCTCTTTATTAGATAGGATTCAGGTTCATATTTTTTTCCCTTCTCATACAACTTCTATAATGTGCATATTAGTACTTAAATCTTCATCGAATTCTGACACTTTAAGATGAATTCCAAAGTTTAAAAAAAGATGATTGTAAAGTCAAAGAGTAAGAATTTTTGAAAGTATATATTATAAAACTTTTTTATAAATGTAACACAACTTACATACTCTAAGCATTGATATTCAGTTATATAAAAGCAAAACATCCTATAAGCTTCATGAAGAAAACATGTTTAATAACCTTGTTTATCTTTTCAAAGAACCAGTTTTTAGGTTCTTGTATAGAGGGCAAGGGAAACACAGGAAAAGATAAACAAATGGGACTGGAGAAAAGGGAACCCAAGTGAACTGTTGGTGGGAATGCAGACTGGTACAGTCACTGTGGAAAACAGTATGGAATTTCTTCAAAAAATTAAAAATGGAACTGTCTAAAAGATATATCCCACTTCTGGGAATATATTCTAAGAATCCCAAAACACCAATCAGAGAGAATATATTCACCCCTGTGTCCATAGCAGCGTCATTTACAAGATCTGGAAACAGCCCAAGTGCCCATCAGCAGGTGAGTGGATAAAAAAGCTTTGGTACATTTACACAGTGGAATACTACATGGCTGTAAAGCAGGGGTCCTCAAACTTTTTAAACAGGGGGCCAGTTCACTGTCCCTCAGACCATTGGAGGGCCTGGCTATAGTTTAAAAAAAAACTATGAACAAATTCCTATGCACACTGCACATATCTTATTTTGAAGTAAAAAAACAAAACAAAACGGGAACAAATACAATATTTGTATTTGCATGTGGCCCGCGGGCCGTAGTTTGAGGACCCCTGCTGTAAAGAGAAACAAAGGAACTCCTACCCTTTATGACAGCATGGATGGACCTGGAGAGTACTGTGCTAAGTGGAATAAGCCAGTCAGAGACAGACAAATACCATATGATCTCACTAGTATGTGGAATCGAATGAACAAAATAAACTGGTGAACAAAATGGAACCAGAGCATAGGGGAGGCGTGTGGGGGTGACTGGCTAAAGAAGGTGAAGGGGGATTAGCTAAAGAACATATATGCATAGCCCATGGACACAGACAATAATGTGGTGAAGGCCAAGGGAGAGGGAGGTGGGGATGGTTGAAAGTGGACAAAGGGTGAGAAATGGGGTACATCAGCAAGAATGTCAACATTAAAATTTTTAATTAAAAAAAAAAGAAAAAGTATTCCGAAGGTGTTACAGAATCTTACAACCTGGGAACATCGTTGTGAAGCAGCATTTCTTATTGGTTAGATAGAAAGTAAAGAGTTTAGGGCTTTCCAGAAGAGTTTATTTTTATCTTGCTCAGGTTTTGTTTAAGTGTTGGATAATTGGAATACTAACAACTGAACATAGTAGTTCTGAGGCGACACTGAAGATAATTTTGCATGACAGGTGGGCTCAGGCCCAGTGACAACTTCAGACCACCTAGAGTGATTGTGGTTAGCTATGGAATGGATGACTGAGTAGCTAAGAGCTGGGGATGGCCAACCCTGGGAAGACCCTGTGGAGCTTTGGGAGTGATTGGCAGGTCAGAGTGACTACATAGTGAGCCCTGATGCTGGAGGACAGAGAACGCTGGCCCATGACACTGCAAAACTGCTTTGTAAAAATACTCATAGTAACTTTGATACTGTCAGAGCATTGGTTACTTAAAACTTCAGTTTGCCTGAATTATGGGGAATCAGGGTTTTCTACACTAAAAATAATCATCTTTTATTGTATGATGTTTGCAGAACACTGTTAGATTTTGTATAACAGATTTTACATCATTTAGATGGAAACACTCAAATTGTTTACCATGTTAAATATTCTGTGTAATTGCCTGCATGTTTTTTAGTTATAAGAATGTTATGGTAATTTACTTTGATATCAGAAATAGGTGTAGAATTTGCAATTTATATGAGATGTAATAGAAGGCTTTTGGATTTTAATTATTCTTTGAAAATCTTCTGGATTATTAGGAAGTCAGACACTTAGTTTTCACCTCAGAACCAATGTAGACATTAGATACTTTCAAAATGAGTTCATTCTAGGAAATTACAAAACCATTTGCAAGTGATTAATAACATCAATTATGTATACTATATGGGCACACAGGTAGTTTTATGGTATTTTATTAAAGTACTGTATCGAATGAAGGTCTTCAGGTACTTTTTATTACTATATACTTTGTATCTATAAATGTAAAATATAGTATACCAAGCAGACCACTCATGGGAAAACACCTCTAAAGCTATGTGCACAGAAGCTTGCAACACCTTTTTCATGGAGACTGAATAAAGCTCTTAACTATAGAAAGGTATCATATTTTAAGCATGGTTATGTATCTGAAAGAATGTTGGTATTGTCCACAGAACTAACAAAAAACCCAAACTTTAATATTGTGCTGAAATTAGTGACTTGATCTGATGCTGCCGTGGTTTCTGGGGGCGTGTGGTCAGGTTGCTGCTGCATCTCCTCATGTCACACTTGCTCTTTTTCATTTCCTCCTCAAACTACGCAGTCATATTACTTTTGAAGATCGCTTTCCCCATGTAGGCCTTTTGTTGTGCCTTTTAACTGAATCCATTTTTCGTTGCTCTCATGAGGGTTTGACTCCTTAGTCAGGATTGGAATGGCAATATCATGCACTTGATCTTACAGTTAAATACACGTCTTTCAAGTAGAAGCTGGAATACTTGCAGCTGCTGTCAGTGAGAGCCATCACTTGCTTTCCTGGTAGAAATGATGTGAGGCGTAGTTATGTTAGCCTTTTTTCATAAAACATGCAAGTGTGTGCGAGCAAGGAAGGCTCGGGGATGTTCGTTTTTTTCTGTTGAGCTTTGCAAGAAAATTGCTTTTTCTGAAGGTGTGTTTGCCATCTTTGCAAGACAGGATGCATACAGGAGAGGGAAAGCCAGGCTGCAGTAGGTAAGGAAGGTCAAAGCAAATGAAATTTTAAAACTGGCATATGAAGTACATTTGAAAACTCAGCGGAGTATAATGGAAAGGGCAGAGAATTCAGAACCGAAACCTGGGACCGAGTTTCCCACCTTCCTGTGTCAACTTGGAAAAGCCACTGAAGTTCAGTTTTCTTTCATTTTTAAAATGGGGTCAACTATAATCTATCTTGCAGGTTTGTCCTTGGAGTTAGAAGGATTTTAGCATTTTGCTTTATTTACAGTAACAATATTTTACTAGTTCTTCTTAGTTTACAAAATGTAGATTGAAAAAATTTCAACCGATGCAAGGTCTAGTAGGAACCATACCAAAGTGTATTATTGTTGTCCCTCAGGTTAAAATATTTTTATATATTAAAGCTTGCACTGAGTGAGATGGACTTATTACACATTTGAAGTTTTTCAGGACTAAGTATGTTAAAAGTGATCATGTTTTATAGTTATTTTTTAATATATTTTTTTTATTGATTTCAGAGAGAAAGGGAGAGGGAGGGAGAGATAGAAACTTCAATGATGAGAGGGAATCATTGATTGGCTGCCTCCTGCACACTCTCTACTGGGATTGAGCTCGCAACCCGGGCATGTGCCCTTGACCGGAATCGAACCTGGGACTTTTTAGTCCATAGGCCAACTCTGTATCCACTGAGCCAAACCAGCTAGGGCTGCAGTTATTTTTTTTAATGCATTGTCGTAAATCTGCTTACTACTCACAAGATAAAGGTTATTGGATTGCAGCCCAAAGACTTTCTAAGGACTGACACATTTCCTAACTCCAGTAAATTATCCAACCTGTTTTATCTTATTTTGGTATGGATTATTCTTTGCAGTTGGTAGGAAAAGAGTCCAGGGTCATTTAAACAAGCAATTAAGAGGACAATTTAGTATTTATTGCCATTGAAAAGTGTTAATCTTATTTGTTGTGGATTAATGATGCGTTTATTGTCTATGCTCACAGCTTCTAGTACTTTAAAGCCGACCATTCCAACAGTTAAAACGGTTTTCTCTAATATTTCATTGTGCTACAGATCTTTAACTAAAATTATGTGCTTTAAAATTTTTAAAGCCTTTTTATAAATTTGCTGAATGCAATACTAAATGGAATTCTGAGGGAGTAATATGTTAATTTTAAAAGTATGATTATTTGTTTGGAAAAAATGCCAGCTGTAGCTAAATTGAATCATCATTTTATGAGACATTTATTTGAATTAATGTGACATTATTTAGCAGAGTACCATATAAAACTGTATGTGACTTGTCAAGTGAGAATACATAATAGTTCTGCAGTTTCTGTCTTCTTAGTATACTTTTGCAACGGACTTTCAGAGAAATACGTTTTCTTACAGTATTTTAGTGCCTACTGTGTGCCAGGCACTGTATTAGGTGCTGAGCTTACAGCATAATATAGTCAGACAGACAGTTAGCACTGTGCTGGTAAATGTCAGCAACTGGCTTTCTGGGGTGGGGCGGGGAGGTGATGAAGGGCCCCAACTTCTAGTGTTTGCTGATGTCTGTGGTGTGAATACTCCTACCAAGACCAATTGCAAGTGACAGATGGGATGTTATTGAATATGAACTTGGGAAAAGATGCTAAATACTTACTATACAGTTACATAGTATTCTCACCGTACTTGATAGAGTAAAATGTAAAACAATTGGGAAACAAGGCGTTTTTAGTATGTATTACCTTTTTAAGGTAATTAATTGCAAGTTTATAGACAGTTTTGCATATTAAATAAATATAAACATGAGCTCCTGAAGCAAAATTCCAGGTATGTTTGGCTTAGTGCTTTGTATCTAAGGGTATTCATAAAGTACAATTTCTTAGTGATTTTGGTATAAGAGATATTTTAGTAGATCCTCGGTGTCATGCACACATCTCTCGTGTTCTGAGTCTCCATTGTCAGATGTCACCCACCAATCTCATTTCATCCTCATACGAATCAGTAAGTTAATACTTCAGGCAATTATGTTGAAAATTATAAAGTACAATAGAAATATACAGAATAGCGATTGATTTCTAGCTCACTTTCTAATAGACAATATGTTTAAACTGCAATGTTAGGTCTGAAATCACAAAAAATGACTGCTCTTAGAGATTATTCCACAAAGCCATGTTATGTAGGAAAATTCCTTCAAAGTAGTTGTCATTTCTCTTTGCCAAGTTTTATCTTTTTGCATTTCTTACCTAACATGTTACAACAATTAACGTTCCTACTGTCTGAATATAACTTGGTTCCTTATAATGAGGTAGAAAGAGAAAACAAATTTAAATTAAAAAATCATAAACTGTCATAAAAATATTTTTGTTAAAGTGAAAAGCCTTTTCTCTTATACTGTTAGGATATTAACATGTAAACTAAGGGAATAGTCTTAAATGTTATTTATAAAGCTTTTGTATTTAATCCATTAATTCTATTAAAAGGGACACACGGTTGTAAACAAGTATTATCTCTTAACTAGGAGCTTATCCACTACAAAATTCCTTTTATCTTTTCATTTGCCCCATAAGGCATATGTGTGCTATAATCTATTTTTAATGTTTTGCAGCATATTTATAGGGTGAAATTATACATTTAAATCTATGGTATGTGTTTGGAAGCCATCTGTTAGAACTTATTGGAAAATAGAAACTTCCTTCTTTAATGTGTTTCCTTATTTGGGGGATTTAAACATTTAATGTTATCCTTTCTAATCCATGACTGAAAGAATGAGAAACATTGAAAATGAGATCTATTACTTTCCCACAGGGGGATTCAAACTCTACTGCTTTGTATTTTGTCATATTTCAGAATCCTATATAATAAAGAGGTAATATGCAAATTGACCATCATGCCCATGTGGACACAAGATGGCCACCACAAGATGGCCGGCAGGGGAGGGCAGTAGGGGGTGACCAGGCCGGCAGGGGAGGGCAGTTGGGGGCGATCGGGCCGACAGGGGAGCAGTTAGGCGTTGATCAGGCTGGCAGGGGAGTGGTTAGGGGGTGATCAGGCTGGCAGGGAAGTGGTTGGGGGTGATCAGGCTGGCAGGCAGAAGCGGTT